GCTGTAAGGATCGGAAAGAATGGAGGAAAATTGTAGACAGGGCCAAGTCACACACGCTGCTATAATAATAAAAAAAACAACAGCGGACTGATTCTCCGCAATAAATGAATCAGAGAGCCCAAAAGGGCGGCAAACACTCCGCCAGGAGTGAATAAGCCATGATGATGATGATGATGATGAATTCCAGACCAAATATTTGACTTTCGTTTTCGATCAGTCGTATAAGTTCCATCAGCTCTACTTGACTATTTGCAAGAAGGGCTGTGTCATCTGCGAAACGTAGGTTGTTTAGTTTATGACCATTTATTGAGATGCCCTTTTCCCATCCTTCAAGTGCTCTTCGCATAATATACTCTCCATATATGTTGAATAATTGTGGAGATAGTATACATCCTTGTCTGACACACCATTCTGGATGAAACTCGTTCGAAAGTGTGTCAAGTACTTTAACTGAACCAGTAGTGTGTTCATATAGTTCATTTATAAGCGAAATTAGATGTTGTGGTACGCCTACTTCTTTTAGTATTCGTCATAAGTGTCTCCACTTGACCCTGTCGAACGCTTTACGGTAATCTATAAAACAGATGTATAGTGGGATGTTGAATTCCCTAGATTTCTCGATTATCTGTCTTATATTCAGCAGTTGTTCTCGAGTGCCTCTACCTTTGGTAAATCCAGTTTGCTCTTGTGGAATTTCTCTTTGAAGGAATGTTTTCAGTCTCTCATTGATTATATGTAGCATTATCTTATAGCATTATCCATAACAGTATAACTGATAAGAAAATTTTGACTATGAATCTGCAATCAATAATTAAAATTCGGTCGATTTTAACATCAAACAAAAACAAGTCTGGCTAATTGGCTCTACCAACGCCATTTCTCATAAAAAAAGCTGATTTTTGCTGAGAATGTCAATTTTGGGACCCTAAAAAAGGTGCAAAAAAATTTTACCACTTTAATCCCCCGACTTTCCCCTAAAAGACCCACTTGTAGGGAGGGCGAAACGGAAAAACTCGATATATCAGAAATATGTACGCAGTAGAAAAAAATGTTTCAAATAAAAAATGTAGCTGAGCTAATTTTAAGCAATAATGTTTATTAGCACTTTTTGTGTAGAATGAACCGTTCTCTCAGAAACAACGCTTGAGGAGACCGGCAATTTTGAATGTCAGTTACACGCGCGAAATGAATTTTAAATAAAATTTGTATCGACTCGGTAAAAATTCTGTATCTTTTGATCAGAGCGTCCTATCAACAAAAATAAAAATGCATTTTAAAGGTGAAGAGTGCAGCTTTTGTACGCAACTTTTGGATTTTGTCCAAATAAAGTCAGTTTTATTCGTGGGCGAAAATATATTCTCTCTTCCGACTTTGACATTAAAGTCTCCTGCTATTATTATGATATCATTTTTTGGGAACTCATCATACTCTCGGTCTAGTGCCTCATAGAATATGTCTTTTTAATCACCCTCTTTTTCTTCCGTTGGAGGATGGATGCTAATAATGCTAATATTAGCAAACTTCCCTTTAAGTCTTATTTGACATATCCTGTGATTAATGGCTTTGAAATTGATTACACTATGTTTGACCTGTCAATTCAATTAGTAATTGTAAATGACTAGCTGATAAAGAAAAACAACTGAACAAAGAAGAAAAGGCATACACTGTGGAACATATACGGATGGCACATGACATTGAACAAAGTACTATGCTTTGGAATGGTACACAAAATGTATGTCTAGCCTTCACTTATGTAGAACAGCAGCCATTCAAACGAACACTTGATCAACAACCAAACCAAGCAGTTTTTTATGACAGAAAAAAATTGGTACATTGACTTGGACTGTCCACAGATCATAAAAGATGAACATTGACTGAGTTTCATGAACAACTAGCTGCTGATCTCTGCAAATATGCACCAATCTGTGCTGTAGGAAGACCCTCGAACCAAACAGCCCAACCCAATATGTCTAGGACTGAACCAAACTAGATTTGATTGTACAATTCAAAGTTGTATGGTCTTCTGCATACATTGCTTTCTTGCACTTCCTTCTGTATGTCTTAAAATTTTTCGTTTAAATGTTGCGTTCCATTTCTGATCCATATGTTGGGACTGGTCTGATCAGTGGCTTGTAAATTCTAGAAATTATTCTTCTTGTTATGTTAATATGTAAATGTAACACTTGCCACTTCAGAAGGATTTGAACTTTTAATGAAGGGTAATGCAGATAGTAATGAAAATAATAGTTTCCTTAGGGCTTTCGGAATGAGTCAATTTATGACTAAGAATATTTTAATAAGTTTTATGGTTTGGCGAAGAAATACTTTGTTGGACCTTTTCAAAACATAGATATATACTTAGGTTTATCAATCTATTTTCCTCTATAGCCTTAGTCAGGTATTCTACTATTATTAGACAAAAAAGACATTAGTTGATTACAAAACAGGAGCACAATTTTATATTTAGGCAAGTGTCCAACAGTTGGACCTTATCCAAATACATAACATCACTTGTTTTTTCAAAAGGTCAATCTAAAAATTAACTAATGATTTTGTTTCAAGAATTTGATTCTAAAATAATTGTTACTTTTACATATATCAAAAATTTAGGAACTATCATCATTACAATATATGTTTATTAACTGCTTAACATAAATAGCATTGGACCCCAGTCATTAGAAATGGTTCAGTGGGGCACTCTTCTGTCCACAAATTAAGTAAATTTCATTCATAACTTTCCCAAGTAAATCATTATGGCAAATACAAACCAAACTTTAATTATACAAACCAAACTATATCCCAAGAAGACCTTAAGAGGTCAGATGGTGCTAAGAATCTCCAGAAGAAGAATACAAATATCAATATGCCATGTAAAAAAAATTTAAATCATATCAATCAATGTAAAAAAAAATAAATCAAATAACCTGGGGATACTGAAGTGTAAATGGTACCAATGAAATAGGATATACTTACTGAGAAGTGAAATAAGATGACTAGGTGATGGTGTCAAAGGATTTTTATTTTACTTCTCAGGCAATATCATAACTTCCTAAAATGGTTTAAAAATAATTATTGCAGCAGGTATGACCAATTACCTAACACCATCAAAGAGCACAAACTAGAATATCTTGGCCATGTTATGAGGAATGAACAGAGATACAGCTTGTTGCAACTCATTCTTCAGGGCAAGGTATTTGGAAAGAGAGGATCAGGGAGAAAAGAATATCTTGGCTTTAAAACCTGAGAAAGTGGTTTAATACATCGACAACTAGACTATTCAGAATAGCAGCAAGCAAAGTTAGGATAGCCATGTTGATCGCCAACATCCAGAATGGATAGGCACCGTAAGAAGAAGAAGAATGACCAATTATGTCATCAAAGCCTTTCTGCCACTAGTACAGTAATGGTGATAAAACTCAATGGACAATCATTTGACATTCATCTCATATAAGTATTCAATCCAACACTAGAATTTTTCTTCCTTCATAATATGAATAAAACTAAAAAAACTGTAATTGCTTTGGATATATCTTCAAATATTGTATACCAATTTCAGAAAACTTTAAGATTTAATTCAGAAACTTTAAATGGTTTCCTGATTTCCCATACCTAAGTAAATTTCCGATGTATTATTTTTAGTACTACAGGGAATCCCATAGATTTTTCATTCCAAAAATGTTTCCTTAATTTCCCACAACTTCTGGAGCATATTCAAATTTTAGTTATAAAAACCTTAAGGGTTAGAAAACAACCAATTATTTTAAAAATGGATGCTCAATGTGGCTGTAATTGTATTCCACAATGTAATCTTTGCAACTAGATAGCCCCCTTTAGATTATCTAGTCCCCTTCCATAAATATATTATTATTATATTTATGAAAGGCCCTTTCATAGAAAGGGAAATACTAGAAAGACTAGGAAAGAATAGAAAGGGAAGTTAATTAATCACCAAGATTATATATTTTTAAAATAAACGAAATCTAAGGAATGTTCCTAAAAATGTGTTTAAAAAAACTACTTAAATTAAGTTGATATATTAACTTGTGGTGATTAATTTAAAACCATGAAACAAAATCATATTCTAGAAAAAAGAACCACTCAATTAATAAATGTTATACTAATATACTTAATTACTAAACTGAGATTCATTCTCTTAACTGGTTTCCTAAATATCTTCACATTCATTACACTTTTTGAATAAGTTTAACAGATTTGTTGTAGTTGAAACTTAGGTGTAAATTTTATAAAATTGCTTCTTTTATTTACTTATCTATAAAACCACTCCATGTGGTAAATATCATGGTAGTTTCTTTGTTGCTCATAAATAAAATTGTATAAGTGGATAAAAAGAATAAATTGCATTTTAAAAATAAATAGAAGTTAGCCCTAAATTAGTAAGAGTATCATTGGGTAGGATTAGATACAATAATGAGTGAATTGCAACACTAAATGAAGAACAATATTTATCATGGACATGTTGTTCTAAACAAAAATCAGTAAAAAAGGGGATTAAGGTCAAATATTAAAATGTAACTAAGTATTACTTAAATAAATTTCGTAATTTTGTATAAACAAATGATTTTAAAAAGATTTTTGTTGAAATAGCAGCATTTTTTTGTTAAAATACTTTAAGATTTAACAAAGAACAATCAAACATAAATGCATGTGGTAAACCAAATATATCATCTGTTTTCCCAATAAATTGTTAATTGTGTACACAATTTAAATGTCCTCTTGTAAATAGAATAAAATAAATTGGTTAAAATTGGCATGCAAATTTCAAACCACTGACATCTAATCTATTTGTTAATGTTATAAAATCCTATAAGCAGGTTTGCATACATTTAGATAAATAAAGGCGGATCTAAGTACATAAATGAGAACCATGTAAAAGTAAAAGCATTGTCCCCAATTGTTCAGGTCAGATCCGTTTATTAAAGTTTTGAATATTTCTCGTCCTAGTGTCCTAGTTTTCGTAAAGTGATCTTTTTATATCCTACCTGCAGTCTAGTTATAAAATCCGGACTTAAAGTTCTTTCTGTATTATCTGGCACGGTAATTAGTACTTCGAAAATAGTGTGGTCACTCGATTTGTCCTGCGAAAAACACTTTTCACTTAAAACAGCCGAAAATAACACGGAAATCCTGTCCAAATTTTCTCGCAACAATTGTGTACATGATTGTTTTATTCGCACCAAACCGACAGCTACTTTTGACATTTTTTTCTATTCCCATGCTTACATGTTGTAGTATTTCTTATAAATTCTCTTTGTTTTAATGATAAAAAGACGTCTCCCGAGGGATATTTGAGATTTACTTCATTTGACGTTTATCTGACAGCGACATTTTGGAAATTTTGTGTTAACGATTGCAGCGCCGTTGTAGCAAAATTTTAGTTTAACCGAAATTACAGGGTAACCAAAGTCAATATTTATGCTAAAATAATTCGTAATAATTTTTACGAAAATAATGGCATTTTCTTTATTATTTTTAAAACTTTAGTAGTTACTTTAAAGATATTTTTAATGGCAGGTACCATCTACTGACGGATTTGACAACTAATTCATAATGTTGAATAGAAATCTTGATCATGCTTTCTATAATTTTTTAGTTTAACCATTTAAATGTAGGTGTCGCCTACAATATACACCCATTTTGAATAACTTACATATTTTCCTATCGATATCTAAATTGATTTTTCTTTTTTTTTGTATGGAAGGACAAACACTAGAAAATTTTCAATTTCTAATTTAAGTGAGCCGCCACCGTGCTTTGGAAAGCACATAAAGTCGTCGGTCCCAGGCTACGAAGTAGTCGTTAACACTAAAAACCTCAGCCAGGTTCATACAACATAAGATTCGCAGACGACACCGCTGTTTTTGCAGACAGTCTAGAAGCATTGCAACGCTTAGTAAATAGATTACATAAAGTCAGTAGCAAATATGAACTACAAATGAACGTTAAGAAAACCAAGTTAATGATTATTTCTAAGCAACATACAGTAGGGAGGCTAGATATCGAGGGAAAACAAGTAGAAAGAGTGAATAACTACAAATATCTGAGAACCTGGGTAAATTAAAACAATGGCCAAAGTAGAGAAATAAGGACACGCATTAAAATTGCAAGACAAGCATTTATAAAAATAAAAACAATGTTTGTCAATCAAGACCTTCCTGGATCTGAGCCTCAAGATGCTACGTGTTCTCGACTTTATTGTATGGAATGGAAAGCTAGACACTAAAACTGGATAATATAAAGAAGTTGGAATCATTTGAAATGTGGTGCTATAGAAGGATTTTGAAAATACCATGGACCCAACGAGTTACAAATGCAGAAGTGTTAAGAAGGCTACAAAAGGATTGCGAGGTCATAAAGCACATCAAAACAAGAAAGCTGGAATATTTAGGCCACATTACCAGCGGTGCGAAATATGAGACATTAAGGCTCATAATGCAAAGTAAAATCAAGGGTAAAAGATCCATAGGAAGAAGAATTTCCTGACTGAGAAACCTAAGAGAGTGGTATAGTTGCAGCTCAGTAGATCTTTTCAGAGCAGCCGCCAATAAGGTACGGATAGCTGTGATGATAGCCAACCTCCGATAGGAGAAGGAACTACAAGAAGAAGAGCAGCATACCCATCCGACTAAGATACCGATCTCTTTTAAAATGTTTCAGATGAGAAATGTTAGACTCAGAACAACATATTAACGAGAAAACATCCTTTTTCAATAAAGCCATCATTGATGCAAAGAATAAATCCATTGGAAAGACAGCTTTTCATCTAAAACATTCACATTCACAACAGGCAATAAGACAATCTAAATCGGCTTTTAATAGTAATATGTATCGGACCGGTTGTAAATAATAAACACAGTATAGGAAATACTACCGACTTTAATGATCACTCCAAAACGTAATGCAAATAACAATATACATTAAATAGGTCATCGTCGCGTCTCTATTCCTGAGTGTTTTCACAGCTGATTGTGACGTAACCGCACTGCAGGGTTGCCAATACATCACAAATAGATATAAAACTACTGAAAATTATTTGGAATTTAAAAGAATAAGAGCTAAATGTAGATTTATTATTAAAAAAGCAAGCAAGAGTCATGGCAAAAGTTTATTTCAGAAATCAATAGATCTACTCCAATTTGTCAAATGTGGAACATGATTAAAAGTATATCTGGAAAAAAAATCACATCACTCTTTAAAGCACTTAATAAAAGACAATCAGACATTTACGTCCGAATGCAATATATCTGAAATAATGGCAAATCAATATTGTATAGCTTCTAGCGATGAAAGATATTCATTAGAATTCTTAAATAAGACACGATTCGAAGAAGATAAAGGAATACCATTAATTAATGACACTTCACCAATAAACAATCCTATAAGCTTTACTGAACGAATTGAAACTCTTAACTCCGTCAGAAATACTAGTCCAGGATAACATCATCATCATCATTTTGGCATTACAACCCTGTGTGGGTCCTAGCCTCCCAAGAATTCTCTTCCAGTCGTCCCTATCCATCGCCTTCCTCCGCAAAGCACGTATTTCCATATTTCTCATATCTTGGTCTAGGACCAGATAACATACCTGTGCTTTTTCTACCACTAGTAGGTCAAGAACTATTCTTCTTCTTTGGGTGCCGTCTTCAACGAAGGTTGGCGATAACCTCAGCAAAATCATTTCTGTCCCTGGCTTTTCTTATTAAAGATTGAGAATCCAAACCAGTCCACTCACGAATGTTCTTCAACCAGGACGCCTGCCGTCTACCAGGACCACGTTTTCCTTCTACCTGCCCCTCTATAAGAAGCTGCAGTAGCTGGTATTTCTCATTTCTGTATATGTGTCCCAAATATGAGGTTTTCCGTGTTTTCATTATTTTTAAGAGTTCTCTGTCGGTACCCATCTTGTGTAGGACCTGCTCGTTGCTCATATGCGCTGTCCAGGGGACTTTCAGCATCCTTCGAAATAACCACATTTCAAAACTTTCCAAACGCCTGAGTGAGTTGATTTTGAAGGTCCAGGCCTCCATTCCATATAGTAAGGTGCTGTAAACGTAACATTTCAGCATTCGGTATCGGATCTTGAGTGTTTGGGACGTAAACATTTGTTTCATTTTTAAAATGACATATCTTGCTTGTTTAATTTCGCGATTTTATTTCTATGTCTGGATCTATATCTTTCGTTATCCAGCACCCTAGATATCAAAATTTCTCGACATTTTCGATAATGTTACCATTCACGTTTAAAGCCATGGGTGGATGGATGGATGTTTTGGAGACAATCATTGTTTTTGTTTTCTTGACGTTAATGCTGAGGCCGTATTGTTCTCCAATCGATCTGACGCGATCTAAGAGTGTCTGGAGATCCTGTGCGCTCTCTGCAATTAGGACAGTGTTGTCGGCGTATCGTACATTCTTTAGAACTCTGCCGTTAATTTTAAACACCTTCTCTTGATTGCTCTAGTGCTCGTGAAAGATTTCTTCCGAATATATATTGAAAAGTAGTGGTGACAATACACACCCCTGTCGTACACCTCGCTTGATATTGAATATTTCTGTGTCACCGGCTTCTGTTCTAACTGCTGCAGTTTGGTTAAAATACAGCGTTTGGATAATTTTAAAATCGTTCTCGTCTAGTCCCTTTTTGTGAAGGCAATCCATCAGCTTATCATGTTTTACTTTGTCGAAGGCCTTTTGATAGTCAATAAAACATAAAAAGAGATCCTTTTTTGGTCTCGCCATTTTTGCAGCAGTATAATAAAACTGGTTAATGCTTCCCGTGTCCCAAATCCATTTCGGAAGCCAAATTGTTCATCACTGATATCCTATAACTAAGAACTATTATTGTAACTATTTAATTTTATATGGTATTACCACAAATATGGCACTCGTCAATCATAGTTCCAATATACAAACCAGGTAAACCTAAATCTATAGACCAATCTCTCTTACGAATACAATGTGTAAGTTGCTAGAAAAGGTTATTGCCAATCAACTCATGTGGTATATGGAACATAACCATCTTATTATACCCTAATAAAGTGAATTTAGGAAAAATAGATTAACATTAGATAACTTATTAATATCATTGGAATCAGAAATTCACGAAGCATTTATATGCAATCAGGAATATTTAGCTATATTCTTTGATCTTTTATTTCAAACTTTCTACGGCAACGATATTTCAGTTCGAATCAATAACCACTTGTCTGAATCTAAACTACAGAAAATGAAATTCCACAGGGCTCGAATCTAAGTGTAGCGCTATTTTTAATTGCTATTAACAACGTTGTGTCGTACTGCAATGTCACAATTAAAACTTTTTGTACGCTGATAATCTGGTAATCCTAGAAACATATTCTCTCATAATCGTATTGCTGCAGCTGCAAACCAAGCATTGCTCAAAATTTTGGATACTTTTCAAAGTTCAGCTGTTAGACTTGCTCTTGGAGCATATTGCACCAGTCCTGTGGACAGTCTACTCTGTGAAGCTGGAGAGCCACCCTTAAACCTAAGAAGAAAATACTTAACTCTGTCGTGTCTCGAATATAAAATCTAACCCAAAAAATCCAGCTCTCCATCATCCTATTGCTAACAGATTCCAGGAAGTCTATCAAAAAAGAAATAGGGGTCCTGCACCTTTCTATGACCGAGCTAATAGATACTTATTAGATTTTAATATTGAACTACCTCCCATTTATCCTACCTGTGAAATTAATTTATGTTTTCCTTAGGTTGTACCCTCTCCGCTTTGTAAGACTTCTTTATTATTGGAAAGGAACTACGAGAAAATAAGACAACAAATTTAAAATAAAGTATATTTGTCTTAATATTATATACAATAATAATTTATTTAAATCTTTTTAACACCCATGAGTATACCATTATCAATGGGTTTAATAATTGATCCCATCTTAGTAACCACAGAAGGTTCAATGAACTTTCTAAAAGCTCTTTCTGGCACAAAAGTGTTTCCAATTGGAGCTCTAATGCTAGCTTCATACTCTTTAACAGATTTGAATGGAAACGGTACTTCAGATACCAACAAAGGAGTAATCTTTGACTGAGCGTCTTCATTTATAATTAAGGAGCCTTTATTATCGTCTCTTCTAGGAAATTTCTTAGGCATTTTAATTATAAACCTCTTCCGTTTTCTTTTGCTAGAGTCAATATTAACACCTGCCCAACTGCCCCAACCAGGTAGATTAAGATCAATATCTTTAGGAGTGTCTTTTTCTATTTCTGCTGCCTTCTCTTTTTCAAAATCTGCTACTATGTCATCATCTTCAAATGCTTCTATGACGAGATCTCTTTGATTAACAGGTTCTTCGTTTTCATCTGTCGTTGCGATATCTGGTATAGCAGTATTCAAATGGGTTGTTTTCACTTTGATAAATTTATCAGGATTTATATTTACAGGCTCTTCTTCGGCACTTGGTATTGAATCAATAATCTTTTTTAGAGCATTTATGTTAGTATTTTCTGTTCTGGTATCATTTTCATCTAAGTCAGCTGTCTCTTCCATCATCCTTTCATCTAAACTTTGTTTCTTCTTTTGCGCAGGAAGAGATAAATCAAATTTCTTTTTCTTGGTAGAGAGTTTTGTTTTCTTTTGCTTTGGTGACTTTGTGTCGGTCTGTTTTTTAATTTTAGTAATTTTTTGACTAATGTTTTTGTTAATCTTGCCTTCTAAGGAATCAAACATATCTTCAATGTCATCATTTCCAGATTTATTAAAACTAACTTCCCATTCCGACATATCTAATGATTTTTTCTTCTTGTTTTCTTTCATATTTGTTTTTTCTTTCGTTTTATTTTCTTTCGTTATTTTTTCTTTCTTTTTACTTTTCCCTTTTTCGTTTTTCAGTAGGGAAATGCTAGAAATTACTTCATTTGTTTTGATCTTTTTTTTCTCCTTATTTTTGACTTTTTTAATGCGTTCATTTTTTTCTTGGACAATTTTATTATTATTTTTGATGATATCACTTTCATTAGTATCTGGATTGATCAATGTTTGTTCTGGTTTATTTCCTTCTTCTTCCTCATTTTTATTACTGATTTTATTAACTTCATTCCAGTATTTTCTGTAACCACTAACAAAATCAGCAACCTCTTTTGTTGGTTTTATTCCATTAACCCATGGGTTAGTTTCATCTACTTTTTGATTTGTTTGGGAGATTTCATCTTCAACTGCACCTTCATCTTCAGAATCACTGTTAACTGATTTCAGTTTTTGCGTAAGTTCCCTACTAAGGGCAAGCTGTGTAGCCAATTCTTGTCGACTCTGCAAATAAAAACAGAATATTTTATAAAACACCAAAGTAAAAATGCGAAGATTTCTTGGTTTACGAAACCAAACTTCAGATTTTTGCTTTAATCTGTGCCTTACAATAAATTGCAAGGCAAAACAGACGATGAAAAATATGTAAAGAGAGATACAGAGAATCTAAAAATTGTATATTAACATATCTCCTCATCTAAGCAAAAATATTGATTGAACTGGTTTCTTGTACTCATAAAGAGTAAACCGAAATAAAAGAAGACAGTTAAGATTTGATTTCACATACGGTGTAGGCACAGCCACCTTTACTTCCAAGCCATGAAGTAGAAATTTGGCAACAACGCGTGGTAGTCCGACTGTGGTTTGTTTTGGTTTAACATTTCATTTATAGGAAGGCTTGTAAAGTTTGTTGAATTTATTGTTTTTTTAACTTTATTCGAATGTTTTATTTGTAAATTGTGTTTAAATCAATTAGAAAATATTAATATAAGTGAAATTTCATTAAATTTAGAACTTTTAGAAGATTTTTAACGACAATTTAAAAGGCAAGTATAAATATAACCTACAAAACAAACTGAAAATAATAATACTTTTGCTTCTTGTTACAAAATATGTAAACTAAAAACAACAATAATAATACTTTTGTTTTTTGTTACAGATGCTCTGGCATTGTTGTGTACCTGGTTGCAAAACCAATTATGCCAGTACTTTAAAAACGAAACAGGCAGAAAGTACGTTTTTGTTTCCCAAAGATCCCCAAAGAAGGTATACTGGGTTATGCTCTATTCATAGAGAAGGCTGTACAATTACCAAATCTTCCGTAGTATGTGCCAAACATTTTCATGAAGATGATATTCAGAGGACTGAACAATGAGAAGATAAAGATGGAAATGTACACATTGAAAAGTTAATATTTCCCAAATTAAAAGGCAATGCAGTTCCTAATATATTTCCTGAAGTACCATCATATGTAACTGTTCATCGTACTAAAGAAAGAAGGAATCCCGAAGACAGAAGAAACTTTTTGCATAAGAAGAGGGAACAAGAGATAACATAATTATGTCAATTAGACTTAGACAATAATATCCCATTGAAAAACTGGACAAGTAAAATTACAAGTGACTGTGTATATTTCTATGTATTAAACATTAATCAGTTGGGACACAAGTGTGATAATATTTGTGTAATATGTAGTGTAATAGTTAGCAGTAATTTTAGTGTAATCGTCAATGTAGGTAAGAATAGATTAAGTGGTAATGATTTGAAATGGATTTTACAATATAGTAAATTAACAAGATGGTCACAATTAGAGAACTTACTTTCTCATTTAGATCTGCTTTTTAGATAAGTGATAACAAATTTGAGTATTACATTCAAAAATCTTTTGAGAATATAGGCTATTTTAAATCGATATACAAGTTATAAATGGTATGTTACATTCAACACATTTTTCATGTATACCTCTTTTAACTTGGTCTATATGACAACAAACCTATTCATATTTAAAATTGCTACTTTTGTATATCTAAGTATGAAAATTCAACAAAAGTTATAAGTAAATAGTAAAATATTTAATTTTCAATTAGATTAATTTAGAACCATATTTATATTGTGTCTGATTTCTTAGGATGAATTTTTTAATCATAATAGTTACACTAAGTTTTTACTTAGCACAAATTTTATATCTTTTGTATTTTTAATAATCTTTTTAAATGTCGTGTTAATGTATTGTATTATTTATATGCTTAAGTACTTAATATTTAAAATTTCTAGAGATTCTTGACTGCATTTGATTGTAAGATTAACTGTTTGACACTGTTTTTTAAGTGCAATAAATTTTACTCTAGTGATTATTTTATTGATAATATAACCTAAATAATAATAAAACTTTATATATATTTACTAGGTATATATAAGGTTTTATTAATTTAATTTCCCTAAAAATATTTCTGTAATGAATTGAAGTTTTCAAAATATCAGTTTCCTAAAATTCAAATTAGTTTAAGGTGGTATGTCACAATGTTAAAATTTATATACTTTTTAGGTACACTTATCGTCACTATTTCAAAACAGATCTTCAAGTTATGATTATGTACGTAAACTGTAAACTTTCTATTTTAATGATATCTAGTTAACATTTTCAAAAACAGCAGTATTTTTTTCATAACTGTACTTAAATGCATCCATGTCATAACTTACGTGGTAACGTGCCTAAAAATTGGTATTGTGAAATAATTATTGAACTTAGGTGCAAAATAACTACGTTAAATGATTAACTATCCAAAAACCTTTATTTTAAGCAAATGTTTGTTATCCATACTGTCGTAATTTTTAAATTAACTGTACCTAAAGATAAAATTACAATTAAAAGCTGCAAACTAGGGATTTTGTTGATGTTAAAAATATTTCTGTAATGAATTGAAGTTTTCAAAATATCAGTTTCCTAAAATTCAAATTAGTTTAATATTCTGGTAGACCTTACAGCTGATTATCGGACTACCGACGTCATAGAATGCGGTGTTGCCTTTTTTACTTCATGGCTTGGAAGTAAAGGTGGCTGTGGTGTAGGTAAAAGTTTATGGTCTGTATAGTAGAATTTAATAGGATATCTAACATAGATATAAAATCATCTTTTCAGCGAATAGACAAAGATAACAATCATATTTCCCTTCGGTCTCTCCTCCATATTCCTCATGCACGCCCATTAGTGAACGCCAGACGATTATTTCCGATCCAGCTTATACGTAAGAAACAACGACAGGGTTGCCTGATTACATATTTGAATTAAAACATTGAACTGATTAAAAAAATTGGCGATCAGTGGCGCGGTTAAATTGTCATTCAAAACTGGATGATGGTATTAACAATGAAACACTAATTGACACAAATATTGGTACAACATTTCTTAAATCCATGAGAAATTTACAGACTCGCATTTTTATTTGACGAAATTGTAAACTAATTTCCAATAAAACAAGATAATTTTGGCAACATCGCCATTCGCCGTTTTCTTCAATGGTAAACTACACACGAGAGAGGCCCAACACTATGTTGTGTATTTCATTTTAGAGGTAACCGCGTAAGTGTGAAGATAAAAATTTGATATGCCGACTGTTTATACAACAGAAGAACGGATACAAATAATAAAATGGTAGTTTGGGAACAATTCAGTACAAGAAACTATTAATTTATTTATTATGGTTTCTGAAAATAGGCCAATACCTATAGAAAAAACTGTATTGGCCATTATTCATCAATTTGAAAAGGTTGTGAAATAGTGAGGAGTATTTTGAAAAGAAACGACTATCATTGTTATAAAGTGCAGACTTTACTCAGGAAATATTTCCTGATGATCACTTAAAACAGATGCAATTTTGTAAAGTTATGATGGAGAGATGCCATGCAAATAATGATTTTTTGAAAAATATTTTGTTTACAGGTGAGTCATCATTCACAACTCACAAGAAACATAATCCATCCGTTGTACGTTATTGGTCTCAGGAGAATAAGCATTTGAGTGTGTTTGTGCGTACACAGTATTCACAAAAGTTCAATGTTTTGGACTGGAATTTTGGGAGACCATATTATTGGTCCTTTTTTCATTGAAGGCAATTTAAATACAGTCGAATATCTTCAATTACTGCAAAATCAAATTATTCTTGCACTTTAACGTCTTCAAATTAACTTTAACGAAATTTGGTTTCGACAAGACGGCTATCCTGCACATAATGCAAAAGCCGTTAGAGACTATTTAGCGTTAATTTTTGCTGAACGTGTCATACCCGACTTAGCTCTTCTAGATTTTTATTTTTGGGGGATGTTAAGAACGAAATTGTACAGGCATGAGTTCGAGAGAGCCAGCCACTTGGAAGAAATCAAGGAAAAGATAATCCAACTAGCCAGAACATATCGGCAGATGAACTCAACGCCATAAGAAATGCATTGTATAATAGATTTGGTTACTGTATGTTACAATTTGGTGGTCTGTTTGAACATTTAATTACCTAAGAATTTGGTTTAGAATTTCTAATTGTTTGAAATCATTTTTTATTTGATTTTATTTTTATAGAACAAATGTTATACTTTTATACAAATTTTATCTTTTTTTGTTTCATTTTTATAGAACTTATTTTTATTTTCACAGCTACTACCTCCAAAAAATCTAAACGAAAATATGGTTTCAAATATATTATTTGGAAAATACCAAATAATATTTTATTTTTAATTAAATGACATAATTTTTCGTCCAGTTTAAATTTAATACAATACACCTATTCATTCTAATACTTTACTAGTACTATCTTTATTTATTATGCTTTGTGAAAGACCAACCCACTAACTCATGCAATATGCATGGCATACCAAACTAGTTTTGTTCTGATTGTTACTACAGTATTAAAATCAAAGTTTTGTTACTTTGACGATGCGACATTGCCAAATAATTTTGTATGAAGCTTTTATATTGTGGCGTCATTATGCAGTTTAATATTTTTATTGGAAATAAGGCACAATGTGACTTTAAAATAAGCTTATTTTGATGTTTAGATTTCCAATTCGGAAATCATACCTAAAATAAAATTTATTTTGACCAAGCAAATGTTGCCAAACAAGTTTGGCAACATTGCTTCTCCTCTTATTATTTCCACTAATGCATTTTCGATGATATAAAGGGCAGACCTAATATACCTCTCTCTTTTTAAACAGGTGTTTCTCACTCCATCTCACATAAGGTCCATACCAACCATAAACTTTTACCTACACTGTATAGTGTCTCTGTATATTCACTTATATGTTTATTTTGTTTTATTTTACTTTGCTTTATTCTACTTTATTTCATTTTATTCTAATTTATTTTATTCTGCTGTATTCTATTTTAATTCTATTTTATTCAGATCTTATTTTAATAAACAGATGAAATAAAAATATAATGAAATATTTCATACAGATTTTATTTTAATAAAAAGGTTCTGACTTATCGCTGAACTTAAAATCTATCTTACAATATATATTTTGTTAACTGTCCCTTTAAGAAAACGTAACATTTCAACATTGTCATTATTGATCATTCAGCTCTTTTTGTTGCGTTTTCTCTAGTGAAAACTTGTTGTCCATTTCACCAGATGAACAGCTAAATTAACTACAGTGGGATGCCATTCGTGTATGAAAATGAGGAGATTCTCCAAACCTCCTCATTGACATATCTTTCCATCTGATATGTTAAAACTTCATCGTTAGTATTTGGAGCTGCAATACCAAATACTTACAGTTAAATTGTTTTGTCAATCTATCAATACTGACATTTATTTTGTTCCTTTGTTAGTCATAGTATGGCGCCATCTATTGGTTATATTGCGATTTAAAATGACAGAAAAACTGTCTTTTCACAGTTTTTGAAAATCATCTTTTACGCAAACCTTCTGATAATAACAAATACAACAAACAAGAAATATGTAATTGAGGTGCAGCCATCCTGAAGTGATGCCCATGCCAATATTTCAGCGATTAATTTTTAATACAGATGCATTATATTAGATGCAAGTTTTAGAATATAAAAATTATTGTATGTTACCCGTTTTCTAGCATCTACATTGTCTCCCCACTCAAACTGAATGAATTAATGCTGAACCATATATTCCCACTTCTAACTGTATTAATATTCTTCACAAATAAGATCAAACAATTTTGGACAAATCTGTCTTCTAGCTAGGGCCAATTATTGTTACCTGTTTTCTTTTGTTAAAGGCACTTCAGGTCATTTCTGAAGGCCAGGCAGTTTCTACTAATCTAAATTAACTGTGAAAATCCTAAGAGAAAAAGCAATTGAATATAACTTCGAGATATATGCAGCTTTTGTAGAGTTTGAGAATGCCTAGTAAATAGATAATAGGATATATAATCTGAACCTTACCTCTTTATCATATTTTGCTCTAACTTGCTTATTTCGAGCCCACTGGCCAGTTCCTTTGTGCCTTAAACTAAACCTCTCCTCTGCCCTTGCCTTTTCAATATCTTCTAACTTCTTTAAAGCTTCTTCAGGATTTACCTTTTGTAATTGTTCAAATTCTTTAAGCTGTTGTTTTATCCTTTCTTTTCTTAATATTCTATGATACTTTTTACTTTTAATTTTATTTTGGCGTCTAGCTTTTGCTTCTTTAAAACTCTGGTGTGCACGAAGTTTGGCTAGTTCTTTTCTCTTTTCTTTCAATTCTTCTAGTGTAAGTGGATAGTCTTCATCTTCTTTATTTTCTCCTGTATCTATGTGATACTCTTCTATTTGTGAATCTATATTTTCCAAATTTTTCTGAAGCTCAGATTTCACCCTACAATAATTCAGATGTTTTAATATCTATTAGGATTCAACTCTCAAATTATAAGCTATTAATTGCACAAATCTAATAACTGCATAATATGACAAAGTTAAAAAATATATATTACCTGAAAGACAATGGGTAAGATTTAGCCTTTTTCTCAATGATCTTTACTTTCTCATTACTATCTAAAGGGAATGATAATTGCGCAGCTGATCTATTAGCCTGAACGAGAGCTTCCCATCTATCCAATTTTAATTTCACTTTCTCATAATTTAAACCTCGTTTAATACGTTCAGCTTGTGGTTTTTCTAGAGGTTTGGGCAATGTTTTGCTAATATTACTTGTAGATTTTACTTTATTGGAGAGCTGAAGAGACTTCCTTCCCTTCAAAACGCTCGTTAATTCATTCACATGCACTAAATTTTTATTCGAACTAAGGGATTTTACTAGATTAAATTCAGACACTTGAGTTGCAGGTTCTGTTCTATGTGCACTTTTCACATGCTGAATCTTATTTAACTTTAAAACGTTGTCCACTAGCTTATCATGAGTTTTATCATCTATCTCGTCTTCTACGTATTCAAAGTTATCACTATCGTCACTCATCTTTTTAAATCAAAAGAAAAAATCTAAAAATATGAAAACCACACCACACATGTAAATAAATATTATTTAAGGTTATATATTTTGACAATCTTTAAATCTTCTTTTTTTTATGAAAATAGAAATTGAAATCTTAAAACGAGACCGAATTAAAAAAGAGATGGAGATTTACATACAATTGAAAAATGACTCATGTTGCAATGCCGATGATATAATTTTCCCTAATTATAATAATATATTTCCTTAATTATTTTATAGTATGTAAAAAATATTCCTTTCAAGAGACTTTCTATTTCATATCATTTTCTGGTTTTGTTTTTAACCCGGTTTTCTTTAATGTTTTTGATAACTTAACATTTTAAATATGTACGTTTAAATGTACATATTTCAAATTGCATTTAGCCGTCTTCAAAAACTGCGAAGCTGATAACATTCCTGATGTTATTTTCTAGGTTGGAAACGATAGAGCACACGATAGAGATTGGAATCAGCCGTAACATAAATACGTTAAAATAGCTTATAATATTCTCATTTAGAAAGCTGAGAGTAGTTATTTTTATTAAAAAAAAAAAATAATAATTTGAAATATTTCGTATTTTGCTGTATTATTATGATCCCATGTATTATGCCAGATGTCATTTACATATTTATATGTTGTCTTGTTGGCTATGCTGCTTTGTCTGTCAACCTTTAGTGATTTTTAAATTAAAATTTAAAGGAGTGGTGACAATGTGTTAGTGAAATCGCAGTTGGGTGTACAGCTTCGCCATTTTATCAATATTTTAATAAAAATAAGGACAATTTATTAAGTTAATGTGCTTACTGTTAGTTAGTTCAAGAATAGACTGCTGTTAGTGAAAATATGAAGTTATGTGCTAAAAAGGTAAGCTTAAGTCACTACGATTATGACATTTAAAAGGTTTGTTGGCCTTTCCATTTGACATTTTAATGTGAAAAAAATTAATTAGCGAATTGGCGATACACTTATCAGTTTTGATGAGATAAATATAATTTTCTCTTGCATGTTCTGTCTGTTATTGCTGTGTAAAGTCCTAGACTTTCGTCATTATTGACCACCGGAATCAAAACAAGACACTCCTTTAAAAGAGGAAAAATAAAACACCTTTCTATCAACCAACATAATTTAGAAAGGATTCTAACAGTTACAGTTTGAGTTCGTGGGTTTATTATAAAAGTTATTTATCAGTGAGTAATTTATCTTAATTTTGATAAAATCTGTGAAATTGTGTTCAAAGCCTCCCCCTAATGAGTCACTTCCTCATTTATTCTGGTAGACCTCAACTGAGAATGAAATAATTCCATGTTGTTTATTGTGTAATTTATTGGCCATATGCTTTTACTTTTTTTGTTTGTTTATCTTCATTTTAACATCAAAGAATTTTTATTTCCTGTCACTCCTTGCATTTAATATCAACCAGAAGATATCTTCACCAAACTAAATTAAGTATAATTATATATACAGATTATTTTTTAAATCATTATTAAACAGTATGTTGTAGTGTATTGTATTTTAAAATACTTAAAGTATGGTCCTGTTTATTTGGTTGTTGTATATGTACTTAATTAAACTTTTTTTAAAAGAGCACCCTAATCTTTTTGTGTACATATTTGTTCTTTATGGGCCATCATTTTGATAATTAGGCACAGAATATTAACATTATTTTAAATAACATTATATATGGTGACCTAAGTCCTAAGTTATATACCTCATGATAATATTATGTTTAGTTATATATTGGTAAACAAATAAACCAGAAATTAAAAGCAAGGAATAAAGTTGATCTTAAGTTTGTTGCTGTTGACTAATACTCTAGTTTTAATACATAACATATAAATATACATATTGATGTCTTAGTGTTTGGTTTCAACATGAAAAAGCCAACCAATATTTTTGATATAAATAGGTACAGTAGACTCCCTCTCGAGAACTGAAATGGCAGAATAATTACCTGGTTATATGAATATCTTGTTATATCAAACAACAATAATACTGTGCATACATTTGAATATGCAGTTTTCTAAAACATTTACTTCGTATGGTGAAACCATTCGAATATATGATGCTAAATATTGTTTGAATGGCATTTAAAAAAAAGTTGTTTACTTTTATTGTCAATTATATGTTAAAACAAAAATCTGTTAAGTCTAAAAATCTGTAAAATCTAAAGATGTGAAATAGTTGTATGCTTCTTCATTTGTATTTTGTCTTTGGATAAGTTTCTTACAACTTTTAAAGCACTTTCCACATCTTGTGTGTATGTAGTTTTATTTTATGACTCGAGACAAAGTCCATTAGCCTATTCACTTTCCATATCTTGTCTATTAGGACCACCTTATTAGGTGTGAATGGTCAACCCCCTACACTGACACTTGTGAATCATAAATTGTAAATCTCTGAAGAGGTTTATTGTGGGCGGTAGTTAAAAAGGGTATTTATTAGCCACGGCCAGACAAAAAACGTAAAAAAAACACATTTTTCGATCTTATTTTTTCTCGTTTTAACCCAATTTGCCTCGCCATAGAGGCTTATAGTTCACAAGACATCTGATGTACCTCATTATAAGCAAAACTTTATAATAACCATGTTCGTTATAGATGAAGTATACTGTAGTACACTTTATGTTTAGAATATGTCTGACATTTCTTTTATTTTATTAAACAGGAAATGGTTATTGCAAAAAAAAAAAATAAAAGTGTTTGATTAAAAAATAAAAACTATTGGATTAGTTTTACTAATGGATAGGTTTATAAATAAATATTCAAACTATTCAACATATACTGATTTTAGAGCATTTATTGTCAGTTCATAACATTTCTTAGAGTAAACTGCAATATTTTCTTATACTGAATAAGAAAAAAAAACCTAATTATCAAAACATATTTTTAACTCTGGCCACTTCTTTGATGTCAAATAATTGTATATAATGGAGTAAGTAGAAAGATATTCTTTTTTATGAAATGCATTCTGAAAACAAGTTATGTACCTATATTTTAATCATAACCATAACAGTTTTTAAGTATCAATATCAACTAAAATATTACAATTCTTTGAAGGGGCTTTAAGATCCTTCCAACAAATAGGAAAGGAAGACCAGTGTCCACCTAAAGCTAGGACGACAGAAATAACCCCAATCACTTTTAAAAAATTCCAATTTTTTTTCTATTTGTCTATTCATTAAGAAAACTCAAAAAATCCTAAATTTTTCAAATATTACCAATAGAACCAATAAGACCTATATTGTTAAGAACATTAAATGAGATTTTATTATTTATGAATTTGCAGAAATTTTTAGAGTTACCAGTGACAGCATTTGGTTAATCTTTTACTAAAAGAAGGCAACACTTTAGGAAAAAATGCAGTTTTATAAGCTTATCTCAAAACATCTTTTTAATTCTTGTAAAAGTTTATTTTCACTAGATTAAAAAATTATTCTTAATGTAAGTAAATCCTACGTAAAATTTAAACATAAAAGCTGTTATATTACCTAATAAATGATTAAATTTTTTATAGCACAATATGCTATTATAAGGTATGTAATGTAATTGATAAATTAAATTGATACAGTGATTTTAAGCACTATCAGAATAACATTACATTTTCTATTGATTTAGTACAACTTTTTTATTTAGTAAACCACTTTAAACCTACTATACTTTCAATGGAATGGCATAGTTATTTCTGTTTGTGTTTCACCAATAAGGAAATTTAAGGAATAACCTTTTTTTAATTTCAATGATTTAATTATCTCCTAATACTTATATTTACATAATCATGTTAAAGTCAAAGTGCAAAAAATACTTGAAAATGTGTTTAATTACTATTATGTTTCATGTGTTAAAGTAAAAAGTAAAATAGTCAGTAAAATAAAGCTAGTTAGTGTTAGATTAATATGTGTAAATATTCTGTGTAGATACCAGTTCTTTTACACTTATTCTTTTAATTCTCTAGTAGATCTAATGATTAAAAGATAGAGTTCAACTGATTTTATACTGGAAGATCAATAATAGATCAAATATTTATTATCTGATAAATATTAGAAAAAAACCTGGGTATTCAACATGGATGTCCAAATGTTCATAGATTTACAGCAAGTATATGATTCCATAAAAATAAGCAGGTTATGGCTAGCAATCCTAGAAATGGGAATATCAAGAAAATTAGGGGATCTAATAAAAATTTGTATGACAAACTCATATGCACAGGTAAAGATAGGAAACAGAAAATCAATGCCATTTAGTGTTGTTTGTAAGACACTTCTTTTTATTTAGTAATTTTAAATTGTTAATAAAAAAATATATTTCACACAAATAAAATTAGTTTATTTTTACTGACTCAAAGAATGTATAACAGTTGAATGTTTCTCTCTAAATGCGATAGTATGTACAATGCAAAAAAGTAGTTTAAAAAAGAACAATAACTTATTATATTTTCACCGGCACAGCGACCAAGAGTGTATTAAAAAAAAATTCCTGGAAAGGCGATATAGCACAATGCACACCATTATTCAAATAATTACAAAATAAAACAGTAAAAAAAGGCAATTTGGCAGTATACAGTGTGCACAGGCAATTGAGGTTTCCACAACTTCTTCTGGCTACGGCCCTCCATCTCCGCTTCAAGCCACTTTTTTTTGTCCTTCGATATCATAGTTACAGTTGACTGAGACAGCCCCGTACTTCTTTCTCTATTGCTCAAGTTATCGATAACTTTTCCTCCACCTACAGCACTTTACGCTTTTTTCGAAAAACATGACTGTTGACACACTGAGACACAACTCAAACTGGAAGAGAAAAGTTGTCAATAGATGACAACATCTGTGTGATAACGGTTAGGCACGCCGCCCGAACAATAAAAAATGAGTCACTTAACCCTCTGATAAGAATGAGTAAAATGGGTGGCCGCATTACTTAAGCGCAAAACAAAACAACCACTGGACAATGACCCTGCCACTCGTGACTCAGGTAGTCTGAACTTTAAACACAATAACACATTTTTTATCGACTGTTAAACGCTGAAAAGTAATCCTTATAAAGAGAGAACTATATCGGTATAGAGAAAGAATACATTGTCCTTATAACGAATGACGAACCAACCAATGATTACTATTTTCATCGTTTTAGAGGAATTATCGTTATATTGGGAATCATTATAAAGAGAGACTACTGTACTTAAGAATACAAGAACTCTACGTTTTCTTAAAAATATGGTAGTCTAGTGCCCCTTGAAGTATGGATAGTCACGACTCTGACCACTTCATCAGATCCTGGGTGAATGTATTCAACACATTTTAAAGACCAATTTAGGGGAGGTACATTTCTGTCCTTGATTAACACCAATGTACCAAATTTCGTTATACTGATTCTGCTTCCACTTACATCGCTGCTGTAGCTCAGAGATGAATGGAATGCGTTGATCTTCCAATGTGGAAGTGAGTAGGAGTAACTGTGGATAGGTCAGATGGATTAGAAGACATGGGGTTAAAGGGTCTGGAATTTAATACACCTTCCACCTGAACAAGTATTGAGTTAAAATTTTCAAAAGTCAACTTTATATCTCTGATAACACGCTTCAGATGTGTCTTCATTGATTTAATGCCAGCTTCGTATATTCCTCCGAAATGAGGTGAGTTTACAGGAATGAAATTCCACTTTATATAGTTCTTTGTGCACACGTCTCTACAAGTCAGTAACATTCTGTCTGAGGAACCTGCCAAGTGGGCTTATCGTGTCAGTCAATGAATCCCTTTAAAGCTGAGAGAAATGCTTGTGTACTTAGTTCAGTTTCCAAGTTCAAGATGTTTCTGATTTAGTGCTAAAGTAAACAAGACTGTCATATTAATTGTACTAAGAAGAATTTCTGCCTAGTTTGGCTCTAATAATAAAGAGACCTACGTAATATATGCCGGTAACACTGAAATGAAATGAAGGAGTAAGTCAATCTGAAGGAAGATTGAAGAAAGAAAAAACCCGCTAAATTGTTTAAAGAGTTTGTAAAATTTCTAGTTTTTCAGATTTCTATCTAGTAGGAAAGTTATAAATAACTTTTTTAAAATATATGTTTCTTGAAATATCTAAAAGTCCAAACTGGACTATAGCGAAATAATTCAGAAAAAAGAAAAGTTTCATAGCGAAGCAGGTCAATTTAATTAATTGCCATTTATATCCCATTATATGACCCACAAATCATGATAACTAGTACACATAATTTGCTAACATTACATAATTTACCCATTATAAAAAGTTATGACATGTGTAACATTGTAAATTAATGATTTTTGTAAATAGTAGGCTGTTTGTTTTATTAAATGTAATAAGTTTTAAGTAAACATATGTGAGCATCTTGTTGACCTATGTAGATGTGTTTACATGTGGAGAATTAGCAAATATGTGATGTGGATTATTTTTTATTTAATAATCTTTAAATTTTGTTATGGTAATATAGAGCCTTGGAAAGTCATAAAGAAATTGAAAAGAAGAAGAAGTTGGATGGCAATAATTAATTTTAAGAGCTATAAAAATTGCCGGTGTAGTTTCCAAGAAGGAGGGGTTCTGAATTGAAAAGGGACTCTTCAGTACTTCTTTTGAACACACTCGGAGGGGGGTAGTTCTCAAATTCAACACGGCGCGTCCCAATGGGTAATAAGGAACGACCTACAGATATGTGGGATAGGTGTGAATATGGCTTTGTCAAATAAACACCCGCGGATCAACTGAGAGTATGGCATAGGGCAGCAGCTATGTCATTACAGGATCGGAGCGGTAGAGAAAAATCTCTTTTCTGGTCCGATACTGAATAATCACAGGTGGTAATTATGATTTAACCGGTTGTGATACTGCGAAGTAACCGAACGATACCGGTAACAGTAATCCCCTATTTGTTGGTCAACAGCTACGGATAGAACTGACATGTGGTAGGGCACTTCATTGCTCTGGAGCTGAGAGATTGACTCCAAAGGCGGAGGAGCTAAATTAGCCAACGGCATTGAGATGTGGAAAACCACGGGATGACTACCACTTTAAAGATCTGTAAGGATATACCCAGCACACTACAA